TCCTTTTATTATATGTCATCATTCACCTCCTTTTTGTGGAAAAAACTAATAAATGTGATAAGCCGGAATTTATTTATCCATCCATACAGTGTCGGTACTTAGTCACTAGGTTTACGGGTTATCTCCTTTCTATGCATCAATGAAAGTGAAAGGTGGGTGATGAAAGTATCTGATTTATGTTTTTGTTTTATGAAATACCCTCCCACCTCAACCCTTGAGCTAGGTGTTAAGTATATACCCCTTTCTCCTTTTGTTTGTTTAAATAACGTTTTTCATTGTTTTACATCATTTGGTTATACCAAATTTATTAGAGTTGTGCAAATGTTATTGAGAATCTTTTTCTGCTGTGGGTTTTTGTTTTTGTCTTTTCAGATATAAGAGATTTCGTTGAAGGAGACTAACGATGCTGATCTGAATTGCCTGCTATTTCCGTATTCTGGGACTTTTGGAATTTCCGTATTCTGGGACCTTTGGAATGATCACTGGCCGAATACCATGCATGACAAGGGTCAATTTGGCGAATTATCCATTCGAGGAGTTCGGGGAAAGACAGTAAACTATACTTCACAGTGGTCGTGTTTGCGAAATCGTCACCTTCAATTTAACCATTGAACTGTTGATTTTGTTGACTTTTTGTGGTTGATGTTGATATATGTGATGGTTGATGTTGATATATGTGACGTTGACTTTGAAAATTATATCTTATACAATTTAAAGCTAAAGCCAAATAATATAATTATAAAAGATAATTTGTGTTGAAATGTGTCCGTAGCACGAATGAGGTCAACCCAGCGTGCTACTTTTCCCGTCAGGGAGGGCACAACTTATGTTGATGTTGGGGGTATGCCATTTTGCCGGCTGCCCCACTGTTGTGTAGACCACTGTGGACAATACCTGCCAACTCGAATAAAACATTAAACTTAAATACGTAGCATTTGTTTATTATATACATAGGTCTTTGATAATTAAAGAGCAAAGAGAAAGACCATGACATTTAAAGCTAAAAAGGTTTGTTTCGGAGTTAATCGTATCAAAAAGAGGGTGTAAAGTTGTGTTGAAAAAGGAAGTGTATTTATATAATGTGTAGATTTTTTAAGAGTTAGATACGGAAAGAAACAACATCATCATCTACAATTTTCCAGATTTTCTGGATTATATATGAAAAATCTTTCTCATCAGTGTTGATCAAAGATGGGATTAAGCAAGTGTCATCCTGTTATATTTTTTACTTGGATTAATGTTCTATACCGTGGTTTATGCTATAGTATGTATTATTTATGTTTTCAGTTATCCGACCCATAAAAGCCTATGATGCAATGTATCTGATTACATAACAGATATATGTTAATGTCGACATAATTTTTGAGGATCAATTAGTATTTTTGTGTGAAAATCGGAATGTGTTTTAATTTTTGACCTCAACCTGTCATCAATAGAGTTATCCATAGCAATTCTAAAAAATTCCTTTCTTCTATATAAAAAAAAATAGAACGATAGTTCAGCTAATAATAGGCTGCACTCTCTATTACAATTATGCGTGTATCTACTATTTGAATATTTGACATAGGAAACAACCTATCCTCCTATCAAATACCTGCTATTTTTTTTTATTGAATAAAATATATATCGCAAGCGTTAATTTAATTAATTGAATGTTAAAGAAAACCTGTCAGAGGGGTAATCTTTTTTTTTTCGTGTAATTAAATGTGAAAATCTATTTGATGCAGAAGGTGGGTAGATATTAAAAAATGAAACGGTCACTTGTTCCAATTTAATTATTAACATTGGTATTGTTCATTCTGTTATCATTTGTCAACATTCTCATCATAAAAATTATATAGAATTAAAGAAAAGGGAAGTGTTTCTGTAACAAAATTAACTCTTCTTTTCAGTACTTTAATAAGAATTATTGTGCCAGTAAGCACTCAAATTAGAAACGTATATAATTAATGAACTTCTTACAAAGATCAGCTTGTAATACCCGGACACACCTGGGCAATCAGTAGTTCTGTTGATTATGGTGGATACCCCAACAAGACAGTGGACGGAGACGTCAGTCAAAATTCCTATACATACTGCATGCATACAGCTGGTTATGAAAGTGAGGCTTGGCTAATGATTGACCTAGGAAAAATTGACATCATCAAATCAGTTAAGTTTTGGTATAGAAATGACTCTAACGGTAAGTTATTTAGCTTCTCTTTAAATGTTCACGTATCTTAATTTGATTTGGAAAGTAAAATAATAACATATGTACAAATTATATTGAATCATCTTTTTTTTTGGCAATTTAGTAAAATGTAAGCAACCTATAAACCTTAGCCAGATACATTACCATTATTCAGTCCTGTACAATAGAAATTCAGAGGGTTAATCTGACACAATCTTTACAGTGTAAGGAGAGAGCGTGTTGATGTTGCAATGTGTTACCGTAATTGACTAATACAGTCAAGATGTAATTTTAGTCTGTTTAATTTTTTTTTAATTCAAGGGAATATGTTCCTGGTACAAATTCTTATTCTAGTCTTGTAAATTCAACGTTGGTGCTTGTGAAGTCCATCAATTATGCTCTAATAGGCTTGTTGAAAAAATAATAACATTAATTATAATTATAATTTTCAACATTTGCATGTTTGATAACCTTGGGTAGTTATAATTTTATTTGAAATTCTAATTTTAGTAAAGAAATACGCAAGCTAACTCTCGATTCCCGCCTACATTTTTCATACACTTATATCAATATCAATGACAATTTCGCAATAAAATTTTTGTTTGATACAAAAAACAATTTATTGGTTATTTATAACTTATATTAATACCAGCATGAAATAGTAATTTATTCGAAAATCAAACTCTAGGAAAAAGGGAAGTACACAATATTTTTCATTGAAATCGGGCTTTCAAGCATCACCATATTTTGAAATAGTCTTGGATATGACTAAATGTTCCTTATGTATTTTCTCATGTTTTAGGCAAAAAATAAAATATGAATAATTATATTTATAAAAGATAATGTTTCAATTGTTAATCGCTTAGAAATTGGTGAAAAAATAAGCATTTTTGTCGTTTTTGTCTACAAACATATGTTTCCCCCATGGCACACAAAAAGCTTTGGTATGAATTTGTGAAATTAGCAGTCCATACAACCTGTAACAAGGATTTTTTGTGTCATGGGGAGGAATATATTTTAGAAATATTTTACGTTTTCCGTTGATTTCAATAGTGAAAAACACATGTTTTACCAAAATTTTTAGAGTTTTCTTTCTTTGTTTTGCCAAATAAGTAATGTTTTATGAAAATTCTTATTATTTTCTTTAAGAAATGTTAAAAAATCATCAAATATGTTAACTTATGAAAATTGACAATACTATCGTTAGCAGTTCTATGACCTCCGTTCATCATATACAAGGGCCGTTGAAAAATTACGCGGAGTTGTTGCACAGAAAAAATATTAGACGACATAATCAGGCAAAACGCCACACATAATTTAAAAGGTTATTTATATGGTCTTCGAAATTTAATATCAAAATCTTGTAAATTGGTATCAATCTTGAGAGATTTTTCAGGACATATCATTACGTTAGGGAGCATCAAAATCTTCGACGTCACAGGCATTATAAAAATTAGTGATTGAGCTTTCAGTTTCTCAACATTTTCCCAAGAGTACCTCTATAGTTTGAGTACCTTATCTACTCAACATCCAAACACCATTTCTTGTCAAGCATAAAACCTATTAAACAAGCAAAGAATATTTTTTTTTGTTTTAAAACCCAAAACTACAAGTATTAATGAGATATAGAGTGATATTGGTGACTCTCAATCACGTTCTTTACAGTCCGGATAACGTTTTGTCGATAATCTTCTTCCCGTACTCCCGTATAGCCGTTTTATAGAGGTCTAATGGTCTAAAATTTCAATTTGCTAGTTGTGGACGAATTTCACGAATACCTTAGTTTACTACATGTTTTGGATCTATGTTGGCGATATTTCGACCATTACACATAATTTAACAAGAGTGGAGTGCGCCGTCAATTCAGTAGACGTCATTTTCACAGTCGTTTTCACGGAGATCGCATCAGAGAAGAATCACTATATTTCTGATAGTACTTCAAATATCACGCCAGAAATCTAAATACATAATAATAGAACAGTTTAAAGATACATTTGAGAAAATTGTCGAAAAATATCACGAATTATAAAAAATAGATGAGTTACATTTGGATTCCGCATGCTTTTGCTTCAAATTTTTTGTCGTGCTCCGTACCTCTCCATCAGCGATATCAACATACCCACCATTTTATTAGAGTCTTTTTAAAATACAGACATTTTGCCCAAAATTTATTGGAATCTTTAAGAAATTTCATAAGTATATGACGTCTGTAAGAGTAAATAATAGCACAGTCCTCGTAATTTTTGAGCGGCCCTCGTATTTCTAACATTTACTCAAGTAAACATTTTTTAAACAATCAGTCAATAAAAGACATGCTCTGTATTTTGCAATTGCATGAGTGAATAAAGTATCTGATCAATATGATAAATTGGATATCAGCTCTATACCTTCTATTAGTACCAGGGTATAATACGAGACGAATACAAGGGTTTAATATCCGTCTATCAAATACAACTCAGACTGACCGGCAGGACATTTGTTATCAAGATGATGGAAAGACAATCCTGCCTCCAATTATAGAACAACAATGTAAAGGAGTAGCCCAGTTTGTTTGGATTTACACAAATAAAACGTTTATTGATGGCGCAGTCCTTGAAATATGTGAAGTGCAGGTTTATGGTAAGCTATTTGTTACATTGTAAAAACTGTCTGAGCTGATATTGCTTGATATCGCATTACCCAATACTTATTTCATTTAGATTTTAAGAACTCAATCATCACCTTTCGTTGCATGTTGACTGAAATACATGTAGGTTGAACAGTATGTTTGTGAACAATATGTTGGTGAATTCATTTATGTTCATTTTTTTTATTTTTATGCCCCCGTAAACGAAGTTTCGGGTTGATGTCGTGATGTAGGTTTTGTCGTGTCTGTCCGTCCGACTGTATGTCTAGCTGTCTCTCTGTCTGTACATGTTTCATTGTCTATTTGTCGGCAAAAACTTTAACCTTGCCCATAACTTTTGATTTAGTGGAGCTGTGACTTTCATATTTTACATATGTATTATTAGTTACATAGTCTTTTAGTGACAGGGTATGGGATGATACCTGGTTAGTAAATTTCATACCTGGCGAGGCGGAGCCGAGTCAGGTATGAAATTTACTAACCAGGTATCATCCCATACCTTGTCACTAAATGACTATGTAACGAATTTACCCCACCGATGAAACAATTACCTTTTATCTGTTATTTATAAATGGTTTTCTCGGCTAAATGCTTTATCGCGCTTATACTGTGCCTATTATGACGTCACGTTTGCGTTTGTGACGTTATACATCGACCGGGTATAGATTTCACTGACCGGGTATGGATATACAACTGACCGGGTATAAGTAATCCACCGCCTTCACGTGACAGACTTCAACCAATCGTAAGCCAGGATTTCAAAGACAAATCAACAGAGATGAGGTAATCCTTGATACACGTGCTTTCCTTGGGTACCACTAAATTTGACCTTGATTTTGGGGTTTGACCCACTTTTACACAGAAATTCAAAACTTTTACTTTAGCCATATCGTTTGAACAGTAGAAACCAGACCATGTATACTTCACAGCTGTATTTTTGTTGAGAAACCTTTCATTGGATACCAACAATTTTGATCCTTTGATCTTGATCTTGGAGATTTCCGTACTTGTGAAATTTTATTTAACCTTGACCATAACTTTTGAACGGTAAAAGATAGGGCTATCATACTTCAAATATTTCCTGTTTTTACCTGATCTTGACAAGGAGCACACGGCGGGTGTGACCGGTCAACAGGGGATGCTCACTCCTCCATGGCACCTAATACCACCTCTGATATTATAGAGATCCGTGTTTGCTCTGCTCCTAATTTGTATTGATTAATGGACTTTGAGATTGAATATTGTTCGTTATCTCCATATCTTTATATGTTATCTTTGTGAAAATACCTTTCAATGGACCCACAATAACTTTGACCATTTGACCTTGGAGTTTGAACTACTTTCAAAAACCAAACCTTAACCGTAATTTTAAAAGGGTAAGGGCTAGTGCTTTCATTCTTTACATATTTCATGCTTGTGACAAGACCTTTCGTTTGAATGCCAGACCTTTGAGCCTTTGACCTTGGAGTTTGACCTACTTTTCAAATTTTTCACCTCTGCTTAAGTTCTGAACGGTTAAGACCAGGGTTTCAATGCTTTAGATATGTATTCTATGTGGCATGACCTTTCATTCGATACCAATTACCTTGACTTTTTAACTTTGACCTTGGAAATTTTTGCACTTATGAAAAAAAAAATTAATCTTGGCCATAGCTTTTTAAATTAAGGGCTAGTGATATCATACTTCACTTATGTAATTCTTGTAAAGAGACCCTTCATTTGATACCAAGAACTTTGATCCTTTGACCTTGGAGTTTTACTTATTTTTAAAATGTAAACCTTGACCATTATTTTTGAAGGGTAAGACCTCGTACTTTTTTACTTTACATATTTAATCTTTGTAAAAGTACTTTCATTTGATAGCAAGATCTTTGATCTTGACCTCGGGGTTGACCTACGTTTTAAAATCTTTAACTTTGACCATAACTTCTAAATTGTAAGGGCTAGGGCTTCCATATTTTACATATGTAATTTTTGTGGCAAGACCTTTCATTGGATAACAATGACCTTGAAGATATCTGAACCTTGGCCTACTTTCATAATTCATAATTGTATTCTCAGTGATTATACCCTACTTTTGGTACCAATATATTAAATTTCCATTTAAGAAAGGTTTAATCTTTGCTATGTTGCCTTACAAGGGCATTAGTGTTTCACCAACACACCTTGTTTATCTTAAATATGATAGTTAGATTTTTCCGGCATTGTTGTTTAATTCAAATGTCCTTAAGCGCCAATTTAATGTTATGATGTTGAACATTTGCAATTTATGTTGTTATTAATGTTATGATGTTAAACATTTGCAATTTATGTTGTTATTCCTTTCGCTTGTCAAATATGCACACATTCACACAACTGGAAAAAAAACTATAGTAAATGCTCCCTCTACACCTTCGTAGACTGAGAAGGATTTTTTTTAAATGTGCGTATATTTGATTGACACAAGTAATTGATAAGTATAAATTAAAGATATTCTATTCGAATGTACCAGAGCAATACGACCATTTAACTGAGTTTTTTGGGGGGAAATTTTGTGTGATTTTCCTTAGACTAATTTGTATGAGTAGCAATTGACAGTGGGAAATGCCCCCCCCCCCCCCCCTTGTATTTGGGTAATTTGAATCACGCGTGATTTTTTTAAAGAAGTAAAAGTTAGGCTTATCCCTAGCACTTTATTCATCACTAAGATGCTCTATTATAATATCTGACAAGTTGACTGATAATTCATACTTAGATTGCATATTGAAAATGATATCTAGCCCAATATGAAATAATTATTTTACGTGCATTCAAGCCTTCAAAGCAGTTTACCGATTCACACACCAGTTTGATATTTATAATTTGTTTATTGCAATGTATTTTAAAAAGAAATCATAATTCCACCAACTATTTACCACATAATAATGTGATGTAAAGCTCTTTCTTTTGAAATTTAATTTAAGCACTGTTTTTATCTACAGTCCCTGAAACGTTCTACTTTCCAATTTTTCCGTTCGCTCACCGTTCGTTCAGCGTTCGTTTACCGTTCAGGTGGGAAAGTAGAACGTTTCAGGGACTGTAGTGTTTGGGGAAAGGCCAATCAGAAAAAATGTCATGGGGAAGTGATGCACAAACATAAAAATCAATTGGCGCACCAGCAAGGATTTTTTATCAATCAAATAAGTTGATATAAATACTTTATTGTTTACATGACGTGTTGGACACAGACATAAAGTACCTGAGTGTGGTTTAGAGCATATAATTATATATGGGTAGAATGGGGTTGGTGGGTGGGTTTCCCTCCTTTATATGTTTCCTACGGCCATAAAAAGAAAAATTACAAGTTATACAGTATAAGTCTATGTAGAATAAATTGATATCCAAGTTTTATTTCATGTACATACAAATGCAACTGGATTGAACTTTTTATGCCACCCCTCGTGGAAGTGAGGTTTTATTGCTTTGGCGCTGTATGTCGATCTGCCTCTTGGTTGGTCCGTCGGTCTGTTGGTCCACTTAGTTTCCGTTCCTTTTCTTTACAACCGTTGCACATACATGAAATTTGATATACAGATATATCAGATAGATATGTAGATCATGTTATGTTTAGTGTACGATCGTGCCTTTTTTGACAGAGTTATACCCCTTGGACTTGGAAATATTACAATTGGGGAGGGGGCAAAGTGTTGTTCAAACATCTCTTGTTTGTTATTATTATTAGCAGAATAATTTATTCCTGGACTCAGAATTATGTTGATCACATTGATTTCAAATTTTCTAATTTCCTCAGATAATCATAAATTTTTCTAACGTCAGACAAGCTTTTTAAGAAAGCTAGTACTAATAAATAAAATTACAAGGGACGAACAGCAGATAAATTGAAAGTTTGACCTCATTAGAACTATTTTTAGGTGGTCAAAGGTCATTTAAGTGCAAAAGTTTCATCATTTTTTTTTTCAACGCTTTCAATTTTTTTGCCATAATTTTACACAATGGATGCTGAAATGGAAAATTCTGAATATACTCTCAAGAAGGGATCAGAATTGCAATATCCATGCATCATTTTAATTCAAATATCTGTTTAATGACCTTTTAAATGGTTGCTAAGCAACAACATTTTAAAGTTTTTGTCTATATACATATTTTTTATTTCACATTCTGGACACATTCTCGACACTTTTTGTATATTTCATGATATTGTATGTAAGATATGGGCCATAAAGATGAAAGAACATTTTTGTATTAAAAAATGACCTTGACACTCTTGGTCTGAAGGGGGTCAAGGTCATATCAGTACCGAATTTTGCTTTAAATTCTAATTGAATATCAATTTTGAAATGCTTCAATCATGGATAAATCATCTAATAGTTGACGTGAAAAAATGGCGAACGACAAAATTTGCAAGCAAAGAATTCTGGTCTACTTCTTACAAACCCCTTGCAAAACATGTATACAATCTTTTTGTTAAACAAAAAATTCCATTCTCTTGATGCCATTAAAAATAACTTTTATTTCCATGGATTAAATCTTACAAGAAAAAATAAACTAAATGATTTCATTACAAGATTTTTCTGGTATAACAGAGCTTAAGGTTTACAATAAAGACTTGACATGTTATCTTAAAGGGAGATAATAATAAAAGATAGCATTGGCAATATTTAACGCAAAACTATTTAGTCATTAAGTTGAAAATGTGACGTTTATGTCCAAATATACAAATCCAGAAATATTGTAAGATGAATTCCAAATCAGACTGGAATCTTCAACAAAATGTTGAAGGGCACTTTTACTTTGTGTCCACCATTCTTTTATCGACTGTCATTTTTCTGTAAGACTGGAGGAAATTCTTTAACTTGTCCAAGACATTATTATTTGCTGTCAAGTACAAAGGATCAGCTTCTATCCTGTAAAAGATTTAAATATTTTGAAACAGATACATGTCATTGTGTATATGAATTTACATTTATAAATTAAATTAAGAATGCTAAAATACCTACATTTATTTGATTTTCCTTTTAAAATTGACATTGTATTTATTATGTGATTCAAGTACTGTAGAAGTACTTTTTTCCGCGTGGTATTAATTTACGCTATGTACGCGGTCAAACGTTTTCCGCGGAAATTTGTCCAAGCGTACTTAATATAAATGTAAGGCATTTAGTGACAATCTAGAAAATCCGCGTAATTTTCTACCCGCGGATTCAACAGAAATGGGGATTCCGCGGAATTATGACTCCGTGGAAAATAGTACGTCTACAGTATTTTAACGATATTGTTAAGTCAATTTATCAGGACTGATAATTCAACAACCTTGTAGTAAACCATCATGATAAAATTAATGAACTAAAACAAATAGCATATATGGCAATCTGACTAAAGCCATCTACGCTATCGCAACATATAAAAAAAATCTGGCAATGGATGGAAAATCTAATTTTAATTAGATTGCTACGAAAGCCATAAGGGGACACATCAATTTCTCAAAAAAGTAAAAAAAAAAATGAGATCTCGAATTAGACAATCCAATTCCGTGGATTACTAAATTGTTCCCTCGATTTATAATTCGAGATCTCGAATTACACAATCCGATATTACAGATTACTAATTCGCCCCCTTGATTCATAATTTGAGATCTCGAATTACATACTGGTAATTCGTTTTCACAGATTAATAATTCGAGATCTTGATTTGTTACAACATCAGTCTTATGATTTTGGCAATCTGTGCTCTTGAATTTCATCACATATATGTACAGATACATCCAAGCATTTTAATCAATTAGTGCATTCTATTTATTTTGTTTCAGCAACTGGTCATTTCCAACCTCTTTCATAACTAATTCAATGTACCATTAATTTATTTTAGAAATATTCTGATTACACAGGACCCATATTCACTTTTACTATTTAGGACTTTCAATTATTCTAATATACACGCAACACAAAAACTTTAAAAAAATTTGTTGTACAAATATATGGATCTGAAAATGTGCATGTATTTTTCTCATTTTGGACGGTAATATGTAATAAATGGTAGGATGTAAAATACTACAATATTCTATTCTTTCAACATGTATACCATATCCGATATGTACAGATAAATAATTTTAGTGAAATCATTGGATGGGTTTACATTCCGAGGGAACGAATCATTTAAACTAAGAGAATGAATTATACAATCTGAGATAACGGATTGTGTAATTTGAGGGAACAAATTGATAATCTGTGAGAATGAATTGGCAATTTGTTATAACAGATTGTCAATCCCAGAGAACGGATTGTATAAATCGAGAACTTGGTTTACTATATAATTTTTAAAAAAATCTATGTCCCTTCATGGCTTTCATAAATTGCATACCTGCATGGCTGCCAGGGTTGTAAAAAGAAAGGAGACAATAGACTGCAATGTTACTTCAGGGCAAAATTCCTGGGGCAAGGCTGTTCGTGAGCTTGGGAGTGTTGATAAACCATCCAGTGATTTTGACAACCCATGTATATGATGTACGATAATTGGAAAGTGTCTGAAAAACTGAGAAAATGGAAATTCTAACCACATACTTTATGCAAATTGGAAATACAACAGCAGTCTATAAAAACAGCTTGTTCCATATCTCGGCTTCATTCAAATAGATATTACGTGTTTAAATAATGTGTTTGTATGAATAATCAAGCATCAAAAGTATTATGTGTTTCAAACACTTATTTTTTTCAAAATATAAATCAAATGTTTATAAACTTGTATGAATGCAATATCATGAGAATGACACAAATGAAATTTGACTTTATTTTTTGAAATATTAGAAATACAGAAATTTTCAATACCAAAACAAAAATTTACCTGTTCATTGGTGTCCTTACATATGAATTGGCCTTCGTAGTTCATGGTGGGATTAGCAAGTGGGTTTTCACAGATGAAAGTATTATTGCATAAGGTGCCAGCACCCTAAAAATTCAAAGTGAATGTGGCACATATACACACTGGTACACACATACTGAAAACAACTATCCATTATTACAACTTTGATATTACTTTGAACTTACGAGTGATTGTCAAAAGCATCAAAGTTCAAAAGCAACACAAAATTGGCAGAACAATACGAAATACGCACACTAAAATATGAAGATCTAGTACATGTGTACATTTAGTTTTCTTTTGAACGTGAACTAATTGCGTTTTAAACTTATTTCAGTCAATATACACGTATTCTCACCTGCTTATACCAATTAGGCATGTCTGTATTATTTGATTCATTGATGTGATGATCTTCGTCGTGAAATAATCATGAAAATTGACGTTCAGATTTTGGATCACCATCATGTTGTTTGTGTACTGCTACCATAGCGGAAACACGTGGTTATTTCAATTCGTATCAACTCATACAGTGATGAGTCGTATTTATTTATAAATGCGAGTTTTTGTATTGTTAAATTTCGTGCCAATATAGATATAATTAAATTGCAAATTAAGTTTACAGCATAACAAGATACAACGATATTAAAATCTGTTTTTTTTTTAAATCTAATTTTTGTATTATGCATTGATCTCAGTAATATATATATTTATTTAAATGGTCAAAAAAGTCTTATAAAAGAATTTGTTGTTTCGAGTAAGACGCAACAATGTCGACCTTGACGTTACATGTAAATATTGACCGATTTTTCCATAAAAACTATGCGAAGATCACAAATTCAAATTATCGTAATTAAAAAAAATACTGAGCGTTAGAAGGCCTGTAAGGGCTTGTTGGAAAGGAAATTTTCTCTTCTCTTACCATCTTTATTTTGTTTTCCCTATTTCAACACAGAAATAAACGTAAAACTGAGCCTTGTGTAAACATTACTAATAAAATCGAGAAAAAAAACACGTATGTGCAAGAAAATTCTTGTTTTAGAAATATACTTTAAAGTAATAACAATAATTTTTACATATTTTAAAAGCAGAGAAAATATGCTTTAAGAATATACCATACTTTCTTCATAAAGTGAATCAGGACAAAAAATGCCAATCGTCTGGATAATCGGCAATTGCTTTGGAAAATTACACCATTTTCAAAAAGTCACGTTTGTCTTTACAACGTAAAATCGATTAAATACCGGCAATCAAGACATAATCTTTTTAGATTTTTTAAAAGTAGAGAAAATTTCCAAAAAGATGATATATAGTTTTTATACCTTCATGCTACCATAAAATAGATACGGAGATCTTATTTTCGCGAAGTCGTGTTTCAACTCACCACCGGATAATTTGACCGGTACGAAAGTGAAGGGTATAAAGATCGAAAAGTTTGAAAATATTTTTTTATTCATTCATACATTTTGTGTATTCCAGAATGCCCCAAGGGCGTATATGGTGAAGGTTGTCAAGAGCAGTGTGGGAATTGTGAAGTTGACAGAGCATGTCATCACATTAATGGATCCTGTCCTGGACTTTGTGAACCCGGATATCTAGGAGACAGATGCCAAATCGGTTGATATATTCAAAATAGTTTATTTTTTATTATAATATTGAAACGCAACTGTTAATCAATGTTAGTTGTTTTTATTTATAACTTTATGTATTTTGAAATTTCTCAAATTTTTAGTAAATATAACTAAGAAATACATGTAGTCCTATGCAACCAATTTTTTCTCTAAGATATGTTAACTGTCACCTATGTTTATAATTATTCATTTATTTTAAACCTTGGTAAATTTGAATGACAGATATCTCGGAGATAAATAATATTACGCAGAACCGGTTTACATGACTGTGTAGTTAAATAATACAAAACTAATCTATCAAATAGGGTAGGAAGAGGGGAATGATTGTAATTTCAATGAAAAATTTAATATGTAATATAAGTAAAAACCCCCTTGCAATCCAGCCACATTCTGTTCTGTGTGCATGAATGTTACTTTGAAATAACAAATTTTCGTGAGGGTTAAATATTCATATTTTCGAAATATGTAGAGACCCACGAATTCATGTACACCACAAAAAGTTACATACATAACTACTCAGCAATTTTTCATCCACGAAATCAAATTCCCCCGAACCAAGAAATTTTACTAAAACCACGAAAATTTGGCGCAACGAAAATAAGTGATTTTACAATAATTTCTTTTGAATAGAGGTAGGTGCAATTTTAACAATTTTTCAAAGGTAATCTGTATAAATTAGTGATTTGCCAATTTATGTTTAGTCAAAAAGAGCAAAATAAAACCGTACATTCTCCTGAAAATCCAGGTGTATATGAAAATCTTTTCGTATTATATTTATACAATGTTGAATCTTTGCCAATCAGAGATCTAGGTTTATTCAATCTTATAGTCATGAGCAATGTCATTGTATCGGTGGAATGTATCCTTGCATTTGTTATGTAAACCCTGATGTCTGTGATATAAAACATTCTAACATTATTCAACATTTTCTATGAGAGTGGACTGGTGGTCTTTATTGTTCCATAATTTTTACAAAGGTTTAATTTGTATATGTAAACTATAAAAATTCAATAGTGGTGTCTTGGTCTCGAAATATCAAACATTTTAACATTATTCATTTTCTTTGAGAGTGGAGTGGTCAGGGTGGTGAAAAAAATCACTAAGCTTTATATTTTTTATATGTATATTAACAGAAAGTTTTGAGATCAAATAAATGCATATATGTGTATGTTTGATTTGGAGAGAATCTCATATCTGAAATATTCGAATTCTATTGTAGTATGTAACAAGGGGTTTTATGGCAAAGGATGCCTGGAAAAGTGTGGTCACTGTGATAACAACCAATGTCATCACATCAACGGATCCTGTTCCGGTTTTTGTAAATCTGGATATCAAGGATATAAATGCGACAGAGGTTTCAAACACTTCATATTTTTAAATATCTGCTTATGTATTTTATAGATGACCTTTATTACTACTTGATTGCAGCTTTAATTTGTTTCTAGACTTCTGAATCATATTCATATCTTTGCCTCTGTAAAATCACATACTTTTGAGGGGTCAATTTTTTTTTGCATTTTTTTCTGAAGAGGTAATTTTATAGATAAAGAATTTTGAGTAGTTTTGGTAGTTTACATCACAAAAGGACATGGAATTTTGTGTCAATTTATGTATTTATTACAAAGAAATTAACCTTCCCACGAAAATAATTGATTTTTTTCATTCATACATTTTGTGTATTCCAGAATGCCCCAAGGGCGTATACGGTGAAGGTTGTCAAGAGCAGTGTGGGTATTGTGAAGGTGACAGAGCATGTCATCACATTGATGGATCCTGTCCCGGACTTTGTGAACCCGGATATCTAGGAGAGAGATGCCAAAATGGTTGATATATTTAAGATAGTTTACTGGTCTTTTCATATAATATTGAAACGCAACGTAATGTTAGTTGTTTTAATCTATAACTTTCTGTATTCTGAAATGTCTCATATTTTTAGTGTATATGACTACGAAATACATGTAGTCCTGTGCAACCATTTTTTTCTTTAAGATTTCTTAACTGTCACGTATGTTTATAATTATTATTTTTAATTTAAACCCTGGTAAATAGGAATGACAAATATCTCGGAGATAAATCATATTAGGCAAATGCGGTTTACATGTGTAGTTAAATAATACACAACTAATCTATCAAATAGGATTGTAATTTAAATGAAAAATTCAATATGTAATATAAGTAAAAAATTCCTTGCAATTCAGCCACCTTCCGTTCTATGTGCATGAATGCTACTGTGAAATCACAAACTTTCGTGAGGATGAAATTTTCGTGTTTTTATTGTATGTAGAGACCCACGAATTCATGTACACCACAAAAAAATTACATACATAACTACTCAACAATTTTTCATCCACGAAATCAAATTCCCGCGAACCAAGAGATTTTACTAAAATTTAGAAAAAAATTGGCCCAACTGAAATAGGTGATTTTAAAATAATTTCATTTGAATGGAGGAAGGTGCAATTCTAACAATTTTTTAAAGGTAATCTGTATAAATTAAGGATTTACCAATTTATTTTTAGTCATAAAGAGCAAAATAAAACCGTACTTACCAATTTATTTTTAGTCAAAAAGAGCAAAATAAAACCGTACTATCTCTTGAAAATCCAGGTCTAGATGAAAATTTTTTCGTGGTATATTTATACAATGTTGCATCTTAGCCAATCAGAGATCTAGGTTTATTCAATCTTATAGTTATGTGCAATGTCATTGTTTCGGTGGATTGTATCCTTGCATTTGTTATGTAAACCTGGATGTCTGTGATATAAACATTCTAAGATTATACTACATTTTCTATGAGAGAGGACTGGTGGTCTTTTTTGTGCCAAAATTTTTACAAAGGTTTAATTTGTATATGTATACTATAAAAATTCAATAGTGGAGTCTAGGTCTCGAGATATCAAACATTTTAACATTATATGTTTTTCTTTGAGAGTGGAATTGTCATGGTCATGAAAAAATTAACTAAGCATTATTTTTGTATATCTATACTAACAAAAAGTATTTATAGTCCAAGTTTTGAGGTCAGATGAATGCATATATGTGTATGTTCGATTCGGAGAGAATCTCATATCTGAAACATTCTTTTGTAGTATGTAACAAGGGGTTTTATGGCAAAGGATGCCTGGAAAAGTGTGGTCACTGTGATAACAGCCAATGTCATCACATCAACGGATCCTGTTCCGGTTTTTGTAAATCTGGATATCAAGGATATAAATGCGACAGAGGTTTCAAACACTTCATATTCTTTTAAATATCTGCTTATGTGTCTTATAGATGACCTTTTTTACTACTTGATTGCAGCTTTACTTTGTTGCTAGACTTCTGAATCATATTCATCTCTTTGTCTCTGTAAAATCATATACAGTTAATTCTCGATAAACCGCCACCTTTTGTAATTCAGAAATCATGGCGGTATAACGAATTTGGCGATGAATTGAATTTCCCATCTTCTTGAAAACAAGAAGTAGAGTTACCGTTCTTAGAAATACCATTTAGCGATTCTATTCTTATTATTACATGTATATAAAACATATTTCTGATTGAAAATACTTCAAGTAATTTTTTTAATGTACAATTTCGCTAAAACAATATGTGCAGTTATGAAATAAAGACAAGTACATGGGTGTGCAATCAAATCTGCAGTTCTGCTATTGAAAAAAAAAACATGCTTGGTCGATCGTCGTGATATATTGCCGATAGTAAGTAAAATGAATTCTTGGATAAATGTATTGTTTATGGCAACATTGTTAATTAAACATTCACAATTTATACCGTATAATAATTTTTCAGCAAACTTTGCGGCATTTTTTAAGGCAGGGATCATCTAAATAATATAGTTATTGACGTACTTTAACAACGACCGCTTTCGTGGCAAAACTGACTAAATGAATTTTATTAAACAGAAAACAAAATTATTATAACAATTGATGTTAAAATTATTGTTTATTTAGTCCTTGTTTAATTACTTAATTGCATTACCTTGCCTGCCTTTGCAAGCTTTACAACAGGGATAGTGTCAACCAATTAGCCGCGCTTCACTGACCACACACACCTGTGGCGGTTTATCGAGATAATTGACACTTAAAAATGGACGTTTGTTGTGAAAACAGGGTGGCGGATGGCGGTATGCGAATTTGGCGTTATAAAGAGAATTTTATATAGCAGGAAAAACGTTCTTGGGAAATCATGGCGGTATTGCGAAAATGGCGATGAATCGAGTGGCGATAATTCGAGAATTGACTGTACTTTTGCATTTTTTTCTGAAGAGGTAATTTCAAAGCTAAAGAATTTTGAGTAGTTTTGGTAGTTTACATCGCAAAAGGACATGGAATTTTGTGTCCATATATGTATTTACTACAAAAAATTAACCTTCCTATGAAAATAAAAATGTGATAATCCCCTTGTATTCAAAATCTTTTCGTACATTGAGTAACTATATTTCTGACCGAAATGAGCAATACTATTTATCAATCTTTTTCCCTTTTTTAGCATGCAACCCTGATTGGTATGGCAGAGAATGTAAAGAAAAATGCGGTTATTGCAGACATGAAAGCCCGTGCCATCCTGTGACCGGATCTTGTTCAGGATTATGTGAACCAGGATATTCCGGAGATACAGTACCGACCGGACACAACCTAACACCAGAGCGAACCCGGAGCGGACCCCGGGTTCGCTTCACGGGTTCGCTCGGGGTCCGCTTCGGGTTCGCTTTCAGAAATTTTGGGACCGCTCCGGGTGCGCTTTGGGTGCGCTCCGGGTTCGCTCCGCGTTCGCTCGGGGTCAGCTCTGGGTCCGCTAGAGCGAACCCGGTGTTCGCTTCCTGGGACCGCTTTACGCACTGATGCGTGAAGCGGACCCCGCTTTAATCTCACCGCCAGTAAGCCCCGCCCCTTGTATATTCCAATACAGTAATGGTATTGTGGATCGATCATTGCTGTTTATGCGACGATGCGGACATGTACACTGTACATGTAAACAGTGACATTATCGAGAACTTTGATAAATTTTCTGAAATTAAATTGTTTATTAGACGTAGATTTACCTGTACATGAATAATTGATTTCCTTGATTTCTCTATCCCGAGAAATTCAAACTAATTCAACAACGGGTTATAAGGCATTTATTTTTCGTAAGTTATAACGAGAAAAAAAAAGAAGAGGAAGAAAAGAGTGTTGAATTGATTTTCAGTGTATCGAATGGTGTATAAGAAGTTTAAAAATACATCTGTTATTCCTTACATGTCTGTTTTGCTAATTCGTAGTTTGAATGTTTACTAAACACACGTGAATGATGATATCGCATCTATAAATTACATGTAACCTTTTGTACATCTGATATATTTAGACTTTATCATGTTTATTTATAGTAGTTACACATTAAAAGTTCGTAATATATATTTACCGGACATTTTCTAAAAAAAAAAATTACACTGTATAGTAGAGCTTTTTCAAGGTCAAAATTTTGGAGCGAGAATGATTTTTATCAGAATAAAGAAAAAGGCAAATAATAATTGTTCTCCCGATCCGATAAGAATATATAAATATATGCCCCTTATTTCACACACACATTGTCTTTAAAAAATTATAATTATTTAATTATTTTATTTATGTTTTCTCAATTTACATGTTACATTAAATTATTCAAAATTTACTTCAAAATTATTGATCTTCTTAGTCTTCTTGGGCATGAAAAAAATGCGTGTATATAAAAATCTTCCTTCTGGATGCACAGATAGAAGTCATTGCGCCCTAATGGTATTAACAAACTGCAATGAATTCACCAGAATGAACGTGAATAAGATCCAATTCCTGATGATACTTAACAAGATTTATTAATTCTTTCAACTTAGTGTAACTCTACAATTAGTTTGCGTTACCATCTTTCGAACAACCCACATAACTATACATTGCTAACGCCTTTATTAATTTTTTTCCGATAACAAGTCCTAAAACATTTCAAAATTGATAATAGATTATAATTCATATGTTAAAATATCCCTTCTATATTATATTTCTCTGATTATTCTTTGTCAAGTATAGTTACGCATTTTGATAGAATGAAACAATGTACGATTTACTAAATGTCGTGATTAATTAGCGTAATTAATTCGTTCAATTATGTAAATCGCACTTCACCTGAGTATACCCCGATAAACCAAACGTACTTTATAGCGGTTCGTATTTCTTTCTTTATTTAATAGTAATTATTTAAATTTCCAATTCAACTTTAGATGATGAAATTTTACAATAATTGTCGAAGATTAACTATATTTCTTTTTCTCCGCTTTTTGTCAGTAAGAATTGTAATATCAATTGATTTCCATTTTTATGCATTAACTGATGTATTTACACAATTTATTTAATTAATTGCTTTAATAAAAAAGAAATTAAATATTATATAAATATAAAATACAACCCGGACAATTGAAATAAATAATTATTTAATAATATTTTAAATATCACAATAGATTAACACAGCACATTCACACGTTTTACTTGTATGTACAGTGCTTGGATTTATGTCGAATTAAATCAATACGTTCGATCTTATATCCCAATCGACAGATCAATATGCTATTTTGATTGGTTGATGCGCTGATTGGTTAATCGCTAATCCTGATTGACAACTCTGTAAAGAAATACACAACCCGCGTTCGCTCTCTGGGACCGCTACTGAATTTGGGGTTCGCTCTCTGGGTCCGCTTCGGGTTCGCTCGGGGTCCGCTACGGGTTCGCTTTGGGTGCGCTCCGGGTTTGCTCGGGGTCAGCCCTAGCGGACCCCGAGCGAACCCGGAGCGGACCCAGAGAGCGAACCTGGGGTCCGCTCCGGGTTCGCTTTCTGTTAGGTTGTGTCCGGTCGGTACTGTAGATGTGCGTTTTCTGAACAACTGGCAAATCAAAGAGAAATGATTAAGTTAATGAGGGACTTAGTGTCATACAAAAGACGCAAAGTTGAACTAAAAGAAAATGGCACTTCTCCCACTGATTTGAAATGAGGAAATTTGGAAAAAAGGGAAACCTATAAAACATTGGAATCTTCAAATAAAGTATAGTTTTCATCGCACCTTATCTCTTCTCGGATGTTTTAGCTAACTTGTATTCTATTGACTTTGAGATTGATTACAGTTATTTTTCCCAAAACTTCGATCATATGTACATGTACACGTATTTGCTTATACATGTACCGTTAATTTATCCTTTAAACCCAACTATAGTATTTGGTATGCTTTTCATGTCATAGAATATAATAGAAATAGAAATCAATGAAGATATGTATCAAAATATTAAGTTGAAATGTTCTGTAATCTGTTTGCATTCTACTTTATAAGAAAATTTTGATATATCAATATTGCTGTATATAATTTTGATATCGCAATCAATTTGAATTTTTTGTCTATTTTTAAATAAAGAAATTTAATACATCAAAGATAATTATGTTCACAGATAGACATATGATTCACAAAAAGCAACACCTTTTGACGAGCCTCTTACCAATGATCGCAATTGTAAATTAAAGTAAAAAAAAGGACTCTTTTTTTTAAAATATCCCCATTTATGCATTTAGAAAAAAATTCATCAATGCGTTCGGTAGATCAAAAGTTTATCTTTGTAATATTTTTTTTTATGATAAACATAATATATGCAAATTTTCTAAATTCAGTGATTGATTATTAAATTAAGGAATTATATTATAGGTTAGTTGTGTCTGATTTCGTTGTTTGACTGATGTTCAGTATTTTCTGAAAGGCTATGAAATTAAGTGCTCCACTTTACCCCATCCAATTTTTTTCCTTACAAATATTGTCTATTACGATTTGCAAAATTCGCGAACATTTTTCACTTTTATTTCGTAAGACGGCATAACGCATTGCCTTAATAAAAAGATAATTAAAAAAGAAAGAATGCTTTGGATATACCGATCGCAAACGAAACCCCAAAAAATAGGTACAAATGAATGTTTAGCATACAAAAAACCTAAATGTATTTTAATGATTGCACAATGATCAAAAAGAATCCTCTAAAGCCGCTGCTGATCTAAGTCGATAAAAAAATTGTTTTCATAAAACATTTCTCAGTTGGGAAAACAACGAGAGATAACTCTAAACTTTTTGGAAAAACTCGTGTTTTTTCACAATAGAAATGAACGGAAAACGAGAATTATTTTAACCCCCATTCATTCATGAAATATTTTTACGGGTAATATGGACTGTCATTTCATAAAATCATACCAAATCTGTTTGTGTTTCCAGGGGTGGGGGGTCATTTGTTTACAGACAAAAGAAATAAAAACACAATAATTTGTAAATTTTTTTTATCAATTTCCAAGTGCGTAACAACTGAAACATTTTATTTTACAAGAAAATATATGCTTCATTTTATATACATTAAACATAAGAGAAAATATAAAAACATTTCTTCATATCCAAGACTATTTCTGAATATGTTGATACTTTATAGCCCGGAATGAATGGAAAATATCGTACACAACCTTATTTCTAGAGCTGAAATTAGTTTTTTCTTTTAAATATTTAGCACTGGTATTGAAATAACTAATCAATTAAAATTGAACTATTATTTGTATTCAACAGCGATTTTGTGGATAAGATGACATCGATTGCGGTTTTAAAATTTAGATGGGAATCAAAAGTTTGTGCATAGTTCATCAGTAATGACAGCACATGGACAGTAATTATCTAGACTAAATTTGTCAGTATAAAATGGGAGTGCCAGTACGTTTTTTTTTTTTTAGTAAAAATGTGTTAGCTATATCAACTTTTTTTATCCCATTATTGCTTAAATCATTTCAAATCCAGTTGGATTTAGCATAAAATGACACCAAAAATAGAATACATATACAATAAAAATGGTACATCAAATCATTTACTAATTTCATCAAATATTTTAGTTTTCTGATGAATTGAAGTGTCCCAGATTTTATGATGATAAGGATATCCTTATTTTCTTCATCAGAGGATTATAACCTATTTGTGCAGAGCTGGATTGAAAACATTTGAACGGGATTGGTAAAATAAAATAAGTATAACCATGTACAGTGCTGCTATCCCACAAGTTGACATGGGATGGGATCGGATAGGATTCAGGATTCACGATAGGAACATATAGAAATTAATCCAATCCTATCCTATCCTATCCTATCCTATCCTGTATCCTACAGCCAATCAGATTCGAGCAAAGGATCAATCATATTTCAGAATAATTTACAAAAACGAAATACAGTATAAAATGTTTACAAAAGAAATATTTATAAAATTTAAATACAAAATAAAACATTCTCTTTACTAAAAACAGATTTACATTATAAACTTTGAGTAATACGATGTAAAGACGAATAATGACCCCCATCGAATAATTTTTAGGGGGCAAAAAAAATTAGATAAAGAAGCATATTGGCCAAAATGCTCACCTGAGCTTATTGGGAATAAACTGATGATATGTTGATTTCATAACATTATACAATTATAGCCATATTTTAAGGTAAATGCAATGATTCAGAATCTATAGGAGTAGAATATTTATCAAGCCTTAAGGGTTAGGTAAACATTGTTTTTTGATGGTGGAAATCATCAAACTGACAGAAAAAATCAGCAGTATTATATATTATTATATCCTCCGCTTGAAAAGCGGGAGGGTATATAGTGATCGGGATGTCCGTCCGTCCGTCTGTTACGCTTTGAGGTATCCATCTCTTATCCGCAAATCCTCATATATAAAACGATGTGTTTGTGAAACAGCTATGCCCCTGTATGGCAACATAGCGAAGATTAAACTTTTCTTAAATGCAATTTAAATATATCGTTACCCAAAGTAGGGTCTTCTCACAAGAAATACAACTGCAAAATAGGAAAGCCCTAGCACGACTTGTTCAAAAGTAATGGCTAAGGATAAGTTTTTGAAAGGTAGGTAAAACTCAAATGTCAAAGTTGATGATTTCTTTAGAAAATATTTAATGTAACAAGGATTACATATGTGAAGTATGAATACCCTAGCCCTTACCGTTCAAAACTTATGACCAAGGTAAAAAAAAATCATAAGTACGGAAACTCCAAGGTCAAGGTCAAAAGGTCAAGGTTTTTAGTATACAATGAAAGGTAATGCCAAAAAACTACATATTTGAAGTATGAGAGTACTAGTATCTACCGTTTAAAAGTTATGGCCAAAGTAAAAATTTGGCATTTTTGTGTAAAATGGGACAAACTCCAAGGTAAAGGTCAAAAGGTCAAATTTAGTGGTACCCAAAGTAAGGTCTTGTCACAAGGAATATACATATTAAATATGAAAGTCATAGCTCCAAAAAATGAAAAGTTATGGTAAAGATTAAGGTTTTTGCGGACAAACAAACGGCCAGATAGACAGACGGATATACAGAAAATCACGATAAAACTATATATACCTTAAAATTTATTGTCATGTGTCATTATAAATGCCCAGGTAGCACAAAACATTTTCAAAACATTTTATTGGTGTTGTAAAAAGGTTTTTTCGAAACATTTCAGACTACCGGGTAAACATTTTAAAAACATTTTTAAAACATTTCCTCTTCTCTTTATAACATTTTAAAAACATTTTTAAAATGTTTTCAAGAAGCTTATGATTAAATCCTTTCGGAACATTTTTCTAAAATATTTTTGAAACGTTTTAAAAATGTTTCAAAAGGTATGTTTAGCTTTCAAATATCAAAGATTTTTATATTACGTTTTAAAAACTTCTAAAAACATGAAATGAAACATTCCTTTTCAATAAATCTGAAACATTGCATGAATACGTTTCTGAAATATTTGGAAGGAACGTTGTCAAAATGTTTTTGAAACATTCTTAATTCATTTAAGGCACATTTTTCTTAAAATTATTCTAAGGGTATGTATAGCTTCCGAATATTAAAGATATTTTAAAAAGTTTTAAAAACGTTCTTAAAACATGAAATGAAACATTCTTTTTCTGTAAAACGGAAACATTGCCTATACGTTTCTGAAAAAAATTGTAAGGAACATTTTAAAAATATTTTTAAAACATTCTTAATATCGCTGTTAGTTATAAAAATTAAATTCCGGATATTTTTCGGCCTGGGCAGTAAAAATGTTTATTCAGAACATAAACTCAAATAATTATTTTCACTACAATTGAAACATTTTAATTATAGTTTTTGTAACATTTTTTGGAAACATTTTCAAAATGTTTCTGAAACATTTATGTAATTGCGGCACAATTTAGTTCATTTATTAACTTTAAGAGTATGTTCTGGGAATAATTTTAGAACATTCAATTTAATGTGTTTTCCTTTTTTAAAGACTTCATTTTTCATTGCTGCAACATTTAATTTTAATGTTATTTTCAAAATGTTCTTAAAATATTCAAATAATGTATGATTGCGATTTTCCTAAAATTTAGTTTATGAAGAAAAAGAAAAGAATATATGGAAAGAATTATGTTGAAATGAGGAATTGTAGTAATTTTTTAATTGAAAGATTTTTTCCGGTATTTTATAATGATTTCTAGTTTTGGCTAATTGATTGAACAGACATATATAAAGTCCTTTAAATAAAACAAATCAAAAAATCAATGAATGAAAGGATAGGCAAACACAAAATTTAAAATATAAATAAATGTATAAAATCATAAGCATTTTATAAAACTCTTAATGTCTTTTAAAAAAAAAATGTTTATCAAATCTGTGATCCACTCCCAGGATTTTACTCTGAGGCATTAGATAGGGATTGGCACACTGGTCAGTTTCAGTGTCATGATAACCTATTATGCAATTTTCCTGCTGGGCAGCGCGTTACAAAGTATAGTGGTTTGCAGCTTATCTAGGCCAAATTTTGAATTCTGGTAAACAAGATGTGCGCGGTCACTCCGTGCCGATTTGAATGAGAAGACTTTGCACCATAAAACCACAATAATAACCTCGGGAATTATCTTTATGGTAAAAATTTTCTTTATCATAGACTTTTAAAGATCATTTAAAAATGACTTTTATACTACCAATGCATGATCAATAACTTTGTACAAATGTATGAAGCATTAAGCAATGACAAAGCGTTAAGGTTATACACATATAATTTGATTTGAATATTTCATTCTTAACCCAGCAGGCACGCAACGTTGTTTCAACGTTGAAAGGAGGTGGAATATAGGTTGCAACGTTGATCAACTATATTTCAACGTTGTTTCAACGTTGAGATTTCAAGGTTGAATCCTCAACCTTTTTTCAACGTTGAAACAACGTTGAAGCTGCAAAATATTTTCAACGTTGAATGTTCGTCGATATTTCAACGTTGAATCAACGTTGAGGCTGCAACATATTTTCAACGTTGAATGTTCGTCGATATTTCAACGTTTTGAGGCTGCAACATATCCTCAACGTTGAATGTTCGTCATATTTCAACGTAGAAACAACGTTGAAGCTGCAACATATTTTCAACGTTGAATGCTCGTCGATATTCAACGTTGAAACAACGTTGAAGATTCAACATGTTTTCAACGTTGAATATTTTCTGATATTGTAGAATTAAAACAAAGTTTAAAAATGCAAAGTTGACTGTTTGTTGATTTCAATGTTGAAACAACTTGGAAGATATAACATATTTTCAGCTAATTTAAAAATTAGGAAAGTTTAACGTTGAAACAACGGGTAATGAGTATTTAGCAGTGAGCAATTTAGTTTTTAAGGTCAAAATGTAAAGGTGTCTTTAACTCTTAATCCATGCAATTTTTTGTAATATACACATAGAAAAAATTATATATATAATTATACATAATGAATGAAACACATACATTATGAATTGATTTACTCAAAAGAGTTGTGACAATAGCTAGTACCATTGTGAAATTTTAAATATGAGTTTAAATGAAGCATGGCATCTACATGTAACGCTTCATTATAATTGTTTTTTTAAAAAGGTTTGTTTTGTTTTTTTAATAAATTGTGAATGTTATTTTATTTTGACATATGTATAAAATATGTTACATGTAAGCTTTTAATAAATAATAACATCTTTATCCAACATCTCACTGTGATTCCCTGTTACTCTAGAATTATTAAAAATAATTATTCCGAATTAATGTTCTTAAAATTAGACTCGTATGGATCCGTGCCGTATACTCTTGCGCAGATTATACGTATACAGAGCGAATCTAAGAAGTCTTATCTTATTAGATTGTGCTTTTTTTGTGTGTATTAATTCTATAATCTTTTTTTTCACAAAATATAAAAAAATTCAAATAAACACATAAGAATTTTCACTCTGACAATTAACCCCGGTCAAGTTGCATTACTTAAGATCCACTCCCCAAAAACCTTCGAGATATCAGATAAGGAGTGCCTCTCGCTTAGTTGGTCAGTTGCAGTGTCAGGATAACCTTGTTATGTAATTTTCTTGCTGGCAGAGTATAGCTGTTTGCAGCTTATCTAGGTCAAAATTTGAATTCAACCGATGGACAAGAAGTGCGCGTCTCCTTGCCGTTCATATTTAATGTGTTTTTCAAGCTTTATACACAAGGATTAAGGTTGGAATATCAACTTCTGCTCAGTAAGTATTATTTCCTTTTCATGAATATAAGAAATTAAATTTTTTTATCAATTGTTCATCAATTAATTCTTGTTTTATAAGTATATTTGAAATCTGCGTGAAATGCACATCCTTTGTTCGTGTATTATGTGTTTTGTAGATATTCATTTGGCTATGATATATAAGCTATTATACTAATTTATTATACAATTTAACTAAATGTAGTTTGTCGTAAGGTTCAATCAACCAGTGGTGTAGGGAATTGATTGTATAGTCAGCCTTGATTGCATCAGATTCTTCGCCCGTGAAAATCATATACAAAGGAATGCAACATTTTGTAAGTACACTATGAATATGTATGTCTAGAACATTTTTCTTTAGAAATAATTATTTATAAGTATACTCATATACGAATTTTAACATGAAGTCAACTATAATTCTTTTAATCATGTTAATTAAATCCGGAATATATTTCTTTGTCTGATTTTTAAATCATTCATGACTTGTATATTTATTTTTATCGTTTGAAATAACGTGTTACGTACATTTTATCGAACAAATGGCTTTAACATCCTTATTTCTTTTATCAATAGGCTTTTGCTTTAGAGGGTGGATTCTCCTGTTCATTTCTTTCATTCGTGGGACTTAACTATATGCGTGATTAAAATCAATGGATCCGCCACTTTGTGGAACTTAACAGTGTAAGGCAAACGCGTACTTTGAAGGACCTGGATGTGATTACTGTGACCCACTTTTCACTAGGAATATAAATTTTGTCAGTGATTTTTGATATTCAGTGATTAAATCCGAATTTGTGTTTGTCTTAAAAATTACATGCAAAATAAATTCTCTCACAATCACAATACTAGTTCACAACTTATATAAATATTACGCAACTTGAATAAAATTTTTTATTAGAATTTGAAATGTATTTGTTTATAAAGCAAATTGTAATATGAACTCAACATGATTTCAACCAAATATCAACGTTTGTATAACCGAAAAATTTCAACCAAATCTCAACCTAATTTCAACCAATGTTCACTTTTGTTCAATGTTGATATTTGACGTTGAATCAACGTTAAAGCTTCAACGTTGCCTCAACTTTCATTTTCAACCAAAAATCAACCATAAATCAACCAAAAATTCAACCCGTTTTCAACGTTTATTCAACGTTGAAAATTGACGTTGAAACAACGTTATGTCTCAACGTTGCCTCAACTTTCATATGCAACCAAAATTCAACGTTGATTCAACGTTGAAGTGCAACGTTGATTCAACGTTGAATCAACGTTGAAATGCCTGCTGGGAAGGCAACACAATTATATCCTTGATTCAAGTATTCGTTGTCTTTGTGAAATGTTTTAAAATCATCAAACAATATGTTGATTTAAAAATGAAATTTCTTTACAGCATGGTCCGGTGTTGATTGCATCATCCGTATTTTCAAATTCCCACATTCAAAAGAACCACCTTTGGTGAAGGCAAAAGTGTACGTAAATACTAATATTCTTCAATAATATTGTCAAAGTAATTATTTTTCTGCTTTTTCAATGCAAATGAGGAAAGAACTTTAAATTTGATTTAATTATTTAAAATATTTTTTTTATATATTTTCATTGATCATCTTAAGATACATTAGATGTAGAAGGCTGATACAAACACAATTTTCCTTATCTTTAAAGGTTGTGCTATTCTTTCCGAGGGGCAGATTCCTTATCAGCCTTTTCAGTGTATCTGATTCTAACTAAATCTTATAGATCCGACGCTCTGTTCGACCTATACTGTGAACACAGGATTTCTGATTCTGTTCTTTTAAAATTCAGTTAATGGATTTCACACTTTTAAAACCTGGTTACTTGAAAGAAAATAAATTAAAACTTGTACCGAGAATGGAATTTATATGTAATTAACATTTTGAATATGGGTTTGTATTAAAGGTTCAAAAATTAAATATAAATTGTTTTTATTTTTTTTTAAATATATATATATATCATTATTTAAGGAGAAAAGTAAAATTTCAGTAAAAATACTTTTGTAACCTCGACGTGAATGTTTTGAAAACGTTTTAAAAACCAAAGAAATTAAACGTGAAAAAAACATTTTTGAAAATGTTTTTGTTACATCTTATAAAAATGTTATGATAACATTTGTTGAAATATTTTGTAAAATGTTTTAAAAACACTTAAAAAACATACAAAATCACGTGATTAAAACATTTTTAAAAATGTTTTCGCAACATTTTGAAAAGGTTATAAAAACTTTTTAAATAGTTTTTGTGTTAGCTGGGATATTCTTAATGTAAAAAACGTTTCTCATCCACTAGAGGTCGATCCTTTCACTTTGGAGGCCTGATGACAATGGAATCTGAACGATTGGTGAATGTTAAACGCACGGTGAACGAAAACTGAACGCTAGACCAATGCAATATTAGCAAACGGATAGCGAACTCTTAAAGCTTTGTAAGCGGAGAATGCAAGCGGAAGGTGAACATTGAACGCAAAATTGTGATCGGTGAGCGCACGTTGAAGGAACGGTTAGTGCACGGAAAAAGTATAATGAGCGAATGGAAAAATAGGAAAGTAGAATGTTTCGAGACTTGTACATGTATCTTGTACTGGCTTCGATGATGTTTATTTTCACTTAAATACTTATTTCGGTAAAACGCAGTCGATTCTGTCGGTGTCGAACACAAACTATTGCAAATAAGATTTAGAATGTCTGATCCCACCCACACTGTGATAAGCGGACTAATAAATTTCATCGACAGTATATATCGACAACAGTTATATCTCACTCTTCGGTCAAGCATTCTTAAGACCTCTCAGTAAAAGATTGGAATTTTTTTTCTGTAAAGATTTATATAGGAACTAATTTTTAAACTATAACAAGGTAAAACAATTTAACAATTTAATTATTGTACAAATCTTTAATACGATATACTTACCAGATGTATTCCTTGTTGCGTAGATCCTGGTGAGGTTGCTATCTGAAGTCATTCTAGAGACAGAAGTTGTCTTGCCATCTGTTGTAAACTTCTTTGAACTATCACGTTGCGTCTTAGGTCTTCCACCAATAGATGATTTGTACTTCTGGTCAAGGCAATATTTTTCGCATTTATCAAAAAAAAAAAAAATTACGGAGTCTGCTATATCCAGTATCTTCACAGTTACAAAAAAGCCTCATGATATAGAATTGAACTATGATACGAAGTTCTCTAAGATTGTCCAGTGTTTAAAACTCTATGCGACTATGACAGTATTTATATAATGTCTTTCTTTAACAGAATTGCGATCACAGTGATAAAAAGATTACTTGGTTTTTTTTATCTATAACGAGTCCATTATATGTCAAATACATGGTTTTTTTTTACAGGATATTGAATACATTGACTGAAAAGCGTGAAAAGCTGCGGTGACTTTCAGATACTATAAGACATGAATTTGAAAGGGAAATTTTGTTTTCATTATCCAAAACACATTTATAAAATAAATAATAATAATAACTGCAGCTATTAGAAAGCTATTGGGAAGTGGAAAAATAAATGAGAATTTAAAAAAATGTAGTCGTAAAAAAATTCTGTCATTATAAAGGCAGGGTTTAGGCTAATTATTGGTATTGACCAGAATAATATTATCTTTGTTGCTGTTCGTATATGTTTTCAGATTATCATCGCTTAATTAGTTTGTTTCTTTTCTTTTTTTTTTGGGGGGGGGGGGGGGTTTGAATAAAGGCTCACTTAATTATTAAAAATATTTATGTACAAGTGCCAATGCAAATTTATTTTGACATAATAACTAAGTTGTTGAACTTCTCGTTCATTAACATTTTCGTGTACTGTCGTGAACCCAACTCACAGTTATCGAACTATCGCAGAATTTCCAGAAACCGCCTTCACTCTCCATTCTCATAAACAACAAGACATTTAGGTATGTTGCACTTTGCCACCAATTTGACTTTAATTATCAAAAATACTTGTAATTAATTATGTAATAATTAGGGATGTCAATTTTACTCGGACAGCTTAGTCGAATAGTTGGATGCTTTAGTCGAACGATAGTCGAATACTCGTTTAATTTTGATTTTTTTTAAAAAATATCCTTTTCATTGTTTGTCTTTTACAGAAAAGTTTACAATATTTAACCTACGCTATCACCATCATCCAATGATTTTCTGAATTGTAAACATGTACGAAGTACAATTATAAAAACTGTTCATCAATATGTATCCAATGTATTTAATTTCAAAATTAATATATTAGCTGCACATTTCATCTAAAGGCAGGATATCAAACGCTCGTATTTTCAATCTTTACATATTTTCGTATTTCAATAGAGGTTATTATCTATGTTTGTTATTGAAATACACTCTCAACCACTATTGATATAATTATTTCAAAAGTGGTTGTATTTCAAAAGTGGTTACTAACTATGTTTGTAATTGAAATGCACTCTCAACCACTATTGATATAATAATTTCAATAGTGGTCGTTATTTCAATAGTGGTTGGAACACGTGTCTCTTATAAAAAACAAAAAGAGAGCGAGAGCTTGGGATAAATCTTAATTATGACATTTTGTGCAAACAATCAATGATTGTATGAAATTTATATCAGAAAAAGAAAACACGGTTTAATTACTCTCATTACTGATCATAACTCTCATAACTGACCCCAGTTTACATGTATTTACAATTTTGTAATAGCCAGTTAATTAATATTCTTTCTGAATAGTTGTATCATGTCATATCTTAATTTGAATCTACAAAACTAAAACAAAAGCCCTCTCCATTTAAAACAAGATGAGGTCATTAATAATTAATAAACATGTTTGATTTTCTTTCCCAATCTGCTTTTTTGGTCATTTTTGCGGAGAACTTACTTTAGGAAAGTTTCACTTGAAGACTGTGTATATGTTTGACTGATTCGGCATATGATACATCATGTTTGATGTTACACTGCAGAATACAAGTTCTGTTTCACATAACCTTGATAACACTGTTTACCTTTTTTAAGCTATACCAAAACTGTAGATTTTGAAGACATGTTTGCCGAACATACATCGATGTACAAATAATTTCCTTTGAACAGATATACCATACCCTTAATTTTACATAGGAAAATATTCGTCTGTAAATAATGAAATGGGCAAATATAAGTTTCTTACCTTGAATTCAAAATTACTTTAATGAAACACATTTTTCACAAATAACCGACTAAAGAAAGTTTAGTCGATAGTAGGTATGATCGAACGATAGTCGAGTACTCGATTATTCGTTGACATCCCTAGTAATAATTGATCATGAAATCCATAAAATTATTGATGAACAACTTATCTGTATCAAAAATTCATAACAGAATAAAACCGAATTATTAATATGATTAATATGTAAACCGTGATTACATAATATATGGTGTAATTATTGCACTTTGCCACCAATGTGACTTTTATTATCGAAAATACTTGTGGCGGGGTGGAGGTGGCTTAAAACAATTCGAATCCATCCAACACACCTGTACTTTTCACGGCGTCCTAAAAGAAACTTAAAAGTGACGCTATCTGGACGACCGGGTCCAGAGTTTTAATCATGCATTATCAAAGACCTATATATAATAAACAAATGCTAAGTATTTAAGTTTAATGTTTTATTCGAGTTGGCAGGTATTGTCCACAGTGGTCTACACAACAGTGGGGCAGCCGGCAAACTGGCATACCCCAACATCAACATAGTTGTGCCCTCCCTGACGGGAAAAGT